CCGGAAAGTATGCCACCTGGAATCCGGGTATCCGGCACCGGATACCTCAATCTGGGTGTCCAAGGATCCGGCACCGGATACCTCATTCTGAGTTTCCAAAAACATGTCACAATTTGGGGGTGCATTTTGTTCAATTAAGTGTGAAACACCTAAATATATTTTGGAAACTAACCATGAAAATTGAACATTGCTGAAGGTATCCGGCAGGTATCCGGCAGGTATCCGGATGCAATTTTTCGAGATGTCTTATTTCTGGTAAATAATGTTAGCCTGGGCATATCAGATAGCTGTAGTAATATTCTGTGTCATTTTAGTTGTAAATATCCCCTTAAAGTTGAGATCTATGGGCATGTACTTTTGGAGAAGACAATTTTTTTCAATTTCATCTATAATTCTTTTTAGATGTTAAGCTGTTTAATGAACAAACATCAGTTCTAATACATGTATGATGATATCCTTAAATTTCATGTTCAGACTTCCAGATTATTCTGAGTGAAAGTATAAACTCATCGACTGTGTGCTCACTTGGGCCTTTGGTCCTAGTGAGATGATAATATGATTGTTTGTAAAGGTACAAGTACTTGTTATGAGCATACCAGCTTCATTTAAGTTTGAAACACAATATGCCTCACTCTGAGGGTGACATGTACCAGATTTCATCACACTACAGAGAGCTGTTCCTCAGTTACTGTGAACATTTTTACTGAAAGACATTGAAAGCTAATTTGACCTTCAATATCAGTTGCGACTATTTCAAAAACAATTGTAAAGTGATTCATTCAGTGTAATATTGACAAACATATGACAATGATATACAACTATATGTATAAGAGTTATTTAGACTTCTGCAGGAAAAGGCACATTAGAGAACAAGAGTCATCAGAAAGATGACATATCCCCCCAGCAGCTGTCTGTAAAGTAACCACTAGTAAATGTGCAATTCTGTATGTAATGAGTCAACAGGTGAATGTTCTTTAAGAGTGAGTGAGTGAGTATGGTTTTACGCCGCTTTTAGCAATATTCCAGCAATATCACGGCGGGGGACACCAGAAATGGGCTTCACACATTGTACCCATGTCGGGAATCGAACCTGGGTCTTCGGCGTGACGAGCGAACGCTTTAACCACTAGGCTACCCGACCGCCCCTGTTCTTTAAGAGGCATACATTGTTTACCCACAAAAGATCCACCATGGTCGCATCCATATGAATGCCAAGTTTCGATCAAATACATGGAATGTTTTTTCGAATTCTGCCCCAGAAATGAACCCCATCCCCAATTGAGTCTATGTCCAACTTCATTCCATAAAAAAATTAAAAAATAAAAATTAGAAAAATCCCAAAATTTGAAAGGCACCACTTCATTATGTGCCTGATAGCTTTGCCAAGTTTCGATCAAATACACTGAATGGTTTTCGAATTCTGCCCCGGAAATGAACCCCATCCCCAATTGAGCCTATGTCCAACTTCATTCCATAAAAAAAATTAAAAATTAAAAATTAGAAAAATCCCAAAATATCAAAAGGCACCACTTCAGTATGTGCCTGATACCTTTGGCAAGTTTCGATCAAATACACTGAATAGTTTTCGAATTCTGCCCCGGAGACGAACCCCATCCTCAATTGAGTCTATGTCCAACTTCATTCCATAAAAATTTAAAAACATAAAAATTAGAAAAATCCCAAAATATCAAAAGACACCACTTCAGTATGTGCCTGATAAGAGTTGCCAAGTTTCGATCAAATACACTGAATGGTTTGGGAATCCTGCCCCGGAAAAGGAAATGATTACGGACGGACAGACGGACAGACAGACGGACAGACGGACAGACAGGCTGATCGCTATATCCCCCGTATTATATGCCGGGGGGATAAAAAGTAAGTGTATGACCTGTTGCCAACTTCTATCCCTGCCCTAAGGAAGAGTTTGGCCATTAACAACTTTTTTGTCCGGCTGTGACATTGACCTTTGACATAGCAGATCAATGTGTTATTCCAAAGATGTCCAAGCAATGCATGGTTTCATACGATAACTGTGGCTATCAAACTGAGGCAAAATATTGGAAAATCCCCATTTACACAGCTGGCTAAAGAAACAAATAACAAACAAATTATCAATTTCTTTTATTTATATGCATATATCACACATTGAACAGTGTTCACATAATGGTTCCTGATGCAGTATGCACTTTCCTCCTATTCTTCAATACTCATAACAGAGCGGGATAACTGTTCGCTTGAAAGCATCAGCAGACCATGCTCACCAGTTCAGAGTTACTTGCCCTCAAACATCCTTTACTTTCTATATTGCCACGGAAAAACAGGAACCAGGATGAGGGGAGGCCAGATGGGCTCTATCCCTGTTGCATTGTGTTAGTAGAATTGTGAACATTCTATTTGGTGTTTGGGTCCACATTTATAGACAAGTAGTCGCAAACATCATTCCTTTCAAGTGATTACCACATGGCCAAAGACAATAATTTCTTCAACGTCCTTAAATGGTCCCACTCCGACTTGGCATTGGTTGGTCTTCTCACATTAGCCTGACCACCCTTTGTGAGTGTGTCCCAGTGTCAATTGGCATATAACTTCTCGGTAGGCTCCCATTGAAATAACAGGACTCTCCTCATCGCTGTCTGCCAATCACTTCGGATATCTGGAAGGGTCCTTCCAGACTGTCAACCTGTCATCCGGGAATCTCAAGCTGGACTTCAGTTTCTGCAAAATTATGTATAAAGATTGTAGCAAAAGAAAAGAATTGTTGCAACATGTACTTACAGATAAAAGGCAGCAAATTCACTTAATTTATCATCTTTGAGTTTTGTTATATACCAAACATTTGAGATATATATTGTTCCATGCTGATGAGTTGAAACAATCGTTAACTGACATCTCTTAAAAATGTTCCTAGCAACCTATGCTTGCCATACAAGCCAAAGTAATAGATGAGGTAGCAAGTGGGCTCATTGAAAGCTCGTAATCGTACCCAATAACGTGGGATGTTGTCCATAACAGTCATCATCGGTGCGTCTGGATCGAGCTCATAACATTAATCTCTGGTTTGTCTAGTTGAGATTTGAGATTTGATTAATTTATAATCCTTGTCATTTAGCCGAACTATTGCTTGATGTGGTGTTAAATGAGTGAATTGGGTTTAACGCCTCTTTGAACAGTATTCCAGTTATATCACGGCATGTAAGCTTGATGTGGGAAGAAAGCCCGAAGTGATGCCCGAAGGTCTTACATGTTTACCACTTTGATGAAACCCACAAGCAAGTGTATGATGCTACCCTCGATTCAAACCCACGACCATCAGTTTCTGTCAAGCCCAAGAGATGCAACTATGCACAGCAAGTTGTGGTGCCTTTGATAATTAGGCCATCCATGCCAACAGGTGATAAAGAACAAGCAAACTGAAGAAATATTTGCAGAATAGCTACATGAACATGATGAACCAAACAGAATAATTTCAAATATTTACCACTCACTGCTACTCTTCTCTTGTTCCTCATTGCTTCCCTTTTTTCCATTGATGCTGTGCAGATGACTGACTCATTCATTCATCTAGACATTCTGCAAACATAAGTAGCATTCACATTACAGAAATGTCCAAACTGTACATTGAATTCAATTGAAAAGGCCCCAGTTGAGTTTCCAACTTAGAACTGTCCTTATTAAAATATTTCATCCCAAACATTCAGAGATAAAACATAACCCCATATTTAACAACTGTCAAACAATTATTTGACAACAAAGCCAGGGTCATTCAACATACACTTTACATAGGGAATCACTTGTTGCAAAAAAGATCCTCGCCAAGGTCAGAGTCATTCCATGAAATATTGAATTATTAAGTTATGAAGCTTATACAAAACAAGGACATAACAGTGTAATTATAACAATATCCTAAGCGTAAAAAAAATAAAGTCTTTGGTGGCCATTATTGTAAATTATAATCTGTATTAGCATCCCACGAAAGTTTAGAGTTAATAATCGTTCCTAGATCTTGGTCCTTTTTTATTCATTATCTCTAAAAAAGCGGATCTAATTTGGATCATCTTGTTTTGACCACAAATCCATTACGCCCCTTATGCTAATGTTGTGAAAGCCTAGTGATAGGGAAAGGCGCTTACCTTACAGCGTAAGCTTGGTGAAGGGGAGATCAAGATCGTATTAGCTTCGGTGGTTTTCGTCCGTTCGGTCTGCTGTCTAGTCTCAATCTGTCATTTGTCACCTGTCAGATTTGGCGGGTAAGTTGATCACGTGCCTCGATCACACCCGGAAACATACGAGTAACATCGGGTGGCCAATCCGATGTAACCCAATGTACGAGTGTGGAAGCACCAATCACTACATTCCTCCCTCTTTTCTGGACTTGCCCCCCCTTGTGGTCTCAGGAGGACATGGAGGATCTAACAGGTGACCTTACCAAAACATGAGAAATCCCTGCAGGGTTGGGCAGCAGTTTTGTGCTATCAACCGAGACAGTTCGCGTAACTCATGGTTAAGATTAGTTATACGCCTTAAATAAGAAAATCCCCAACCAGATTGTTTGGTGGCAACCGAGTTGGTTCACGTAACTTAAATAGACGACAAAGCTACTATGAAAATCCTAGAATCTAGACCGGATCGTCGGACTCAGTTCCAGTCCTGACCAAGTCAGATTAGGACATTGTTTCTATGAGAATCCTAGAATCTAGACCGGATCGGTGGACTCAGTTCCAGTCCTGACCAAGTCAGATTAGGACATTGTTTCTATGAGAATCCTAGAATCTAGACCGGATCGGTGGACTCAGTTCCAGTCCTGACCAAGTCAGATTAGGACAATGTTTCTATGAGAATCCTAGAATCTAGACCGGATCGGTGGACTCAGTTCCAGTCCTGACCAAGTCAGATTAGGACAATGTTTCTATGAGAATCCTAGAATCTAGACCGGATCGGTGGACTCAGTTCCAGTCCTGACCAAGTCAGATTCAGAAATCCCATTCATCTGGCGTGAATAATTATACCCTGTACAGCTGCCTTGCGTTGACATAAGCACGCTCCAGGATGTTGGCGGTGGTACTCTGTCGGGCAGCGGCCACCATAGCTGCAACTTCACCCAGTAGTCTTGGGCTGTTAACTCCTCGGCGACCTGGGCGAGGCCACAGATATGGGGCATCAGTCTCCAAAAGGAAGCGCTTGGCGTTAAGGAACCGCAACGCTGATAGTTGTTGGTCATCAAAGCTGGCTACCATCCCGGTGTATCCAAACCACGTCTCAGGGAAGTGCTTGGTCCACAGTGCCACTTCTTTAAATGACCCAGAGAAACAATGGAGATGGAATCTCTGGGTGGACGGTACTCCCGCAGTCTTGGCGATTTGTAGGCATTCCTGTAGTGGAGCCTGTTGATAAGTGTCTGCGGTAGTGCCCCTGAGGTGGAGGATGATTGGCTTGGTTGATGGTGCCAGCTTGAAGAGCTGCCCTAGGACTTGCCCTTGCCGTTGCCAGTTTCCCACAGTGAAGTCCAGGCCAATTTCCCCGAAGGCGATTACATCCTGGGATGATAGCAGGTGCCTTAACTTGTCTAGTTGGTCGGGGTCCATGGCCTGCACATTCTTTGGGTGGAAACCGACAGCTGTCTTCCAACACTGATGGAAAGTTGGTTGTTGGGGCCAGGTTGTTGGGTCGCAAAAGATCTGTAGCGCCTTCTGAAGGTTGATGGTTACCTCTTTTGGCTGGCCGGCCTTGTCCAGGACCTCTTCCAGGGGTGTGGCAGCGTCCAGATGGAGCCTGCTGCGCATCCTATCGGAGTGGAAATGGGTGTCAAAACCCCTGGGAAGTCTCTCTGGATTCGGCGGCGCTGAGGATGGAGTCGGTCGAGTGGATGTTCCGGGAAGCTCTGCTGTTGGCGTGGCTTGCACAGATGGCGATGGTCCTGGCAGTGGCAGAAGGTTCCCGAAGTTCCTGAAATGGTTTCGGACTCCATCCGAGGTGACATCCAGAAGGGCTACCAAGATCCTCCAATGTATTAGGCAGGCAGGGCTATCTGGCGACAGGTTGACGGAATCCAATGGTAACGGCCATCCTTTGATATTACACAACTCTTTTATATGCCCGTAGCAGCTTCCTCTTAGGGGTATGTCTTTGGGAACAAGGCTATTCCTTAGGACGAACTGGTGTAATTCCGTCCAGGTAGCTCCTGCTCCCAAAATCTGCCGGGCAAGGTCTTCTATGGCCGATATCATGTCAACTGCCGTTTCTTGTGATGCTGGTATGGAGTCACGGAAACAGGGGGGAGGTGAGCTCCGTAGGCATGGTGGCGCAGCGTCCTGGTTCTTTTACCGCACGTCCGTATTGGACAGCTCGATCCCATTCCGTGGGGATGACTACTCTGGAATCGAGCTGCTATTTTCGGGGCGGCCTTGTTAATGACAGAGACGCTCAGCCCTTGGTTTATCGACCTGACCTGTCGTGAGGGAGAAGCCTGGTGCCTTGGCTCTGGGGCTTGCCTCCTTGACATAGGGCGTCGATCCCGTCTGGGGGAGACATGTCGCTCCTGCCTGGGAACTTCCCGTCTTGGGATATGTCTATGCGGCGAAGGTCGTCGTTCCAGTCTTGGAGAGACATGTCTCCGGGGTGAAGAGCGCTGTTCCTTTCTGGGAGCGGCTCGTCTTACAGAGGAGGAGTGCTGCCTGTGTCGTGCAGTGTTGTAGTACACAGACACCTGACGCCGGGGTGATCGCCTGGGTGATTGCCGGCGCGATTGTCGGTAAGACGGGCGTGGTGGGACTTTTCGCTCCCGGCTGGCAACAGGAAGATAGACGACAGAGGCCACCTGCCGTCTATCCGGGCTCGGACAGGCTCGCTTCCTGGAAGATATGATGAGATCCTCAGGGCTTCTTTTCCTTGAGTGTGCGGCCTGGAGCTGGTATCCTCTATCCTTGGATGTTTTGGATAGGTCTGGAACATGTCCCAGGGATACCTCTGGTTGATCTGACATTGATCGTTCATGATGAGGGGCAGGGGACCTTCTTCCTGGAGATGTTGGAGCTCCTAGGCTGGTCTGGGAGCCCGAAGATGTAGATAGCAAGTCTCCAGCCCAGTAGGAAGTTGAGGCCTCCCTGCTCCTGGCTCCATGGCGTTCGCTGGAGCGTCCACGTCTTTGGAATACCATTTTTCTGAAACATTCGAGTTTTCCCTCTAGGATACTCTGTCCTTTCCTGTGGTGCAGTGAGGACAGATGTATTCATCCAGAGCGTTTGCTGTTCTCTTGGTGATTCCAACGCAGGCTCCATGAAACCATTGGTCACATCGGTCACAGCCTATCATTAATCGTCCATCATCGGGTTTATTACAGATACAATAATTTGTTTGGTCCTTGAAGAGCCACTCCAAGTTGAGATCCTCTTGAGTATCAGAAGTACTCTTTGTCTTAGATAACCTCTGGATCCAACTTGGAATTACGCGATCTCGACAAGGCTTGAGGCGATCATGGTGATGTACTGATGTTGTCTTCCTTGTCTGGACTTCATACAGTGTATTGGAAATCCTAGTAGTGATTATCCCGGGTCCTTTCCAGGATGGAGACAACTTCTTGCACTTTCCTTGTATGGAGGCAGTGTCCAGTATATACACCATCTCCCCCTCTTCAAACTTTCGGGACAAAATCCTCAAATCGTAATCCCTCTTCATTTGGAGCTGGGTAGTTTGCAATTTATTACGGGCAAGGCGATGTACCTCACCAAGAGCTGAGGCTAGCTGATGCACATATGTGTCAGGGTTCAAGGATGGAGATTCCTCCTGCGTGGCGCTGAAGACTAGCTCTGCAGGTTGATTGATTTCCCTACCAAGCATCAGCATGTTGGCGGTATATCCCGTTTGCCGATTAACTGCAGACCTCAATGCTCCTGCCAGTTGTGGTAAAAATTCATCCCACCTGGATTGATTTGCATCTATGTGGCAACGAATGGCTTGCAGGAGGGTGCGATTAAATCGCTCCACTTGTCCATTAGCAGAGGGAAGATATGGGGTTGTCCTGGTTTTATGTATCTGTAGTAGGGTGCAAAGTTCAGTGAACAATTTGCTCTCGAAGTTTCTTCCTTGATCTATAATACTTGGAAAGGGCAACCAAATCTAGAGAAAAAACCATCTACGGCAGCTTTGACTGTCACCTCAGCCGTTTGGGTAGCCAAAGCTATGCACTCCACCCATTTGGTGAATTGGTCAACCATCATCAAGATGTATTGATTACCCAACTTGCTTTTGGGCAAGGGGCCAATGAAATCAAGATGAACTCTTTCCATGGGTGCCCCTGCATGAAAGTTGATCATTGGTGACCGGGCATGTCGTACAGGTCCTTTGTTTCGGCTACATGTTGAACATGTGCTTACATACAACTTGATATCTTGTACCATGCCATGCCAGTAGAATCGGGTTTTAACTCTATAGATTGTTTTTTCCATTCCCAGATGTGCCACAGCCATGACATCATGATTCAACCTTAGCACTTCTTGCTGTAATGATTTCAGGACCACCAGGGATGCCATGCCTCGTGTTGTCTTTTCTTTTATGAGAGGATCAACACGTAACAATCCCTGCTTGTCAATCCGAAATAGAGTTCGGTTCAACCAATAGTGTTTAGCTGCGGGACTGGCCAAGAAGAGACTTGATTCACTCGGCCCCTCAGCAGTTTGAATCCAATCCATTATAATGGTTAAGTCTGGATCAGATCTCTGCTGATTGCATATTTCTTCAGATGAATACCCAAATTGTTCTTTCTGCCCGTCATCAGTCACAACAAGTCTTACGGCCACTGGGGTGGTGTTCATTTGGAAACCCGAATCCCCAATGGATTGTATTTCAAGACAGGAGACCGGCAGGCCACAATCATCAGGTGAGTCATCATCGGAGAGGCAATCCCGCCCAACATGGGCCAGAGGAATGGTGTCATCCACATCCCTGAAGAACCTACTCCAATTTTCATGAGCCCGAGTGCAATATTTGCATCCTCCACATGGCAAACTTTTCAACATTACTTCTGGTCTGTAGTTGTGGCAGTGGCCTCCTTGTGGAATACGTGATAGACCGTCCGCATTGGCATGCAGTTTTCCGGGGCGATGTTTCACCATCAAGTCATATTGGCTCAATTCTTCCAGCCACCTGGCCAATTGGCCATTTGGATTCCGGAAGTTTAACAGCCATTGGAGACTGCTGTGATCAGTCCTAACAGTAAAACGCCGTCCCAGCAGATAGTGTCGAAACTGCCTTGTAAATCTGATTACTGCCAATAGTTCTTTTCTGGTTGTGCAGTATCGTTTCTGCTCGGCGGTCAGGCCAAAACTGCCAAAACAAACTACTCTCTCCTCTCCATTTTGAACTTGGATCAGTTCTGCTCCTATGGCTTCATCCGAAGCATCTGTATCCAGGATGAAGGGGTCCTCCTTGGTAGGTAATGCCAACACAGGTGTATGGGTAAGAGCATGCCGCAAGGACGAGAAAGATTGCTCCTGCTCATCATTCCATTGGAATGCCTTCTTACCCGTTATTCGATACAACGGGACTGCCATAGAAGCGTAGTCCCTGATAAACATCCTGTGGTAGTTGGCAAAGCCAAGGAACCTTTCAACATCCTTGGTACAGGTGGGGTGGGGCCAGGTAAGTACCACTTTGAGGCCATCATTGTTGGCCTCAAGGCCATCTTGGCTAACTACGCGACCGAGAAACTCAACCCTCTGCTGAAACAGTTCACATTTGCGAGGTTTCAATTTGAGTTGATAACTTCGGAATCTCTCGAAGATGGATCGGAGATTAGTCAGATGGTCTTCAACATTGGTACCCATCACCAAAATATCGTCCAAGAATGCCAGTGCGATATCCCAGGTCAATCCTCTCAACACGAGGTTCATTACCCGCGAATATGTTGCTGGAGCATTACATAGTCCAAATCCCATTCGAATATGTTCGAATAGACCATACTTGGTGATGAAAGCAGTTTTTTCGCGATCCTTTGGAGAGATTTTCACTTGCCAATAAGCTGAGTTTGCATCTAGCTTAGAGTACCAGAGATTACCGGCGAGCGTATCAAGACAATCTTCCACCAGGGGCAACGGAAATACGTCTTTTTTCGTGACGTCATTCAGACCGCGATAATCTATGCACCAACGTACTGTGTTATCGTGCTTGCGTATTAACACAGGGGGTGCAGCCCATTCTGATACAGAAGGTTGAATGACTCCGGCATCTAACATTTTCTTAAGATGTGTCTCTTCCTCCTTCTCGAATCCAAGTGGTGTTCTTCGCATACGCTGTTTAATCGGTTTAGCGTTTCCAGTATCAATGGAATGTTCAAGTTCAGTAAAGTTCCCCAAATCCAAGTCATCTTTGGCAAATACATCTTGATAGTCTGTGAGAAGTTGTGCCAGTTGATGCACTTCCTGACCTTGCAGTAGCTTTGATGACCTTTCAAATAGACTTGTCAGATGAGCAGGGATGTTGGGTTGATTACCACTTCTAACAGCCGCAGATTGTTCCGAGGGGGATTCGACATGATGTATTTCCATAGCAACCCCTAAGACTTGACGAGGCTGTAGCACCACTTGATGATCCGAAGGATTGACAAGGCACACAATGGGTACGCTTCCTCCAGTTTGATAAGTCCTGGGCATCAGAAGATCATTACTTGTTAGGCGTGGCTCTATAATGAAATCTGAGAGTTGCTTTGATATAGGACATTCAAGTTGCTGTACCGAATTCGGCGGAATGATGGTCTTCTTCCATACTGAGATTCTGGATACTTGCGGTACCTTTTGAGAACGGCATAGAGTCATTTCAATGGTATCCGATCCAATCTGTAGTAACTGTTGAGTCAAGTCAAGATGTGCCCCCTGGGGAACTAAAAAGTCCAGTCCCAGAAGAACATCATCTTGGATTGGGCCCACTACTACAGGAATCGAATAGGTTTTGGACCCTAATTGTAACTGGAGTGGTTGTGTTACAAATGAGGACATATGTAAGTCCCTGCCGGCAGTTCTCAACTTGATGTCCTGCTTCTTCTCAGGCTTCTGTGAGAGTGTTTTGTAAAAAGTGTCCGAAATAATGGTAACCTCAGCCGCCGTATCCACCACTGCAGTTGTGTGCTGGTCTTGGATTTGGACTGGTACCAGAAACATGAATCCACTTTTTAATTGCCTAACTGTGATTTCTGGAATTGACAGATTGTCGTCATCTGAAGTACTGGTTGACCCGAGAGCTGTAGGCTGAGTGTGGGAGGTCAGAGATGGATAATGTCCAGGGGGTGGCGACAATGGAGGGGGTGGTGACAAAGGAAGTTTAGGGGGTTGGCCTTCTTCAGTTTGGATCGAGGTTAGGCCTCTGTGCTCGATCCGGAAGTGTTTAAAGCCTCCTTTGGGTCTTGTCTGGCTTTGCTTTCCCTCTCCTGCTTTTCATGAGCACTGAACGTGACTTTCTTCTCTCCATATCCACCTTCATTGTAATTGTTTGGACAATCCCTTCGGAAATGACCTGTTTTCCCACATTTGAAGCACTCCCCCGATCTAGTTGGTGATGATGAGGGGCTTCTAAATCGTCGACTCACGATAGCCATCAGCTTTTTGATATCTTCTGACATCTCCTCAACCCGAGCTTCCAGGCGGGTCAAACGTTCCACCACACTTGACCTTACAGGTTGTGATGGAGTTTGCCACTTATCCTGTGAAGGGGTATATTCTTCCTCAGATTCATTGGCCAAGTGCGATTGCCTAACATCCCGTCGAATGACTGGTCTACCATAGACTGCCTGGGTATTCTGGAAGTACTTTTGGACTGAGTCCATAGCTGCTTCCAGAGTTCTAAGTCCCAGGTTGGAAACATAGTGGGCAGCTTCTTTGTTTGCGCATCCTTGGCAGAATCTCCGCACCACTTGTTGTTCCACAAAGTCCTCAGGTAGATCTGTAAAGGCAGCCATCGCTACTTGGAGTACACGCTCCGCCCATTCTTCCAATGACTCGTCTGAGCCCTGACGAAGATTCGGAAACTGCAGTTGGGCAGTCTCAGCTGGAGACCGTTTCCCAAACCGCCTTTCAAGTTTCTTTACCATTCCTTGGAAGGAGATGAATTCATCTCTCTCTAGCAATAAGGCGAAGAAGTCGGCTGCTTTCCCTGCAAGGCAGTAACACA